TCGTCTCGCCGGCAGACGCTGTCATCCAGGCACTGGCTCCCGCGCCGCCGCCGCAGGTCCCAGCACGGCCCTGCCCGGGGGCACTCCCCGGGGTGCTCTGCCACAGGAGGGGATCGGGTGAGGGCGGAGGTCCCAGCCCCGCTCTCACATCGCTTCCCAGTGCTGGTGGCCGGGCTGCCGCGCTCACCTTGGGCAGGGCGGGTGCAGCGCATGGCGCAGCCAGAGAAGCAGCACTTCTCCTGCCGGGAGCAGTCCCTGTCGTGGGTGCAGGAGTCCATCTCCGTGCAGGGCTCCGATGCGTGTTGTGGCCTCACCTTTGGGCACTCACCGGGTTTTTCTGAGAGGGGCAGGAAGAGGGACCACCCTGTATTGCAAGCACCTCCTTTTGTGCAGCCTCGGGGTGCCCTGATCCAGGAATCTGAGTGCCTGCCCTATGGCAGCGCCGTCCCACATCCTGTGCCCAGGAGCTTTGACAGCATTCCCGGTGGAATCGCAGTTCTAGAGACCGTCTCCTCACCTGGTTCCGGGGCTGAGCACACGCTGCCACATCTGCTGCTGCTGCAGCACTTCTCAGCGCCCGGGCACTGCCAGTCCTTGGTGCAGGGGGTGCCACACGGGGCCAGCGGAGCCTCCTCAGCCAGCGGGCAGATGCCTGGTTTCTCTGGGGGCAGGAGGCAGCAGGGCTGGGAGTGCAAGCAGCAACAGCGGGTGTTCCCCACCCAGTGTCACAGTCCCTGGAGCTGGGGGACACCCCTGCCCGTATCTGGCACCTTGGGATGGGGGCAGGCAGACGTAGTCGCAGCCACGGAGGCAGCACTTCTCCTCACGGGGACACTCGCCATCGTGCCGGCACCAGGCTCTGCAGTCGTAACTGGGGAACAGCCCAGCACGGACTAGGCAGAATCCATCCTTCCCTGCAGGCATGGTGTGGTGTGCTGCAGTGCCACTGCTTGGAGGCAGGGCCGTGGAGACCAGGGCAGGTGGGGCTGTGGAACCTTTGGGGTGGCTCCCAGCCCCCTCACCTTGGCTGTTGGCCACACAGTGCCTGGTGCACAGCTGGTGACAGCACACGTAGGACGGGGGACAGTCCTCGTCCTTGAGGCATCCCCACTGGTGCTGCAGTGACCTTTGAGTCACTGGGGCAGGGCTGGTGTCCTCTGCACCGTGGAGCAGGATGAGAACATGATGGTGGCCTCACCAGAGGTTGGTTGCGCTGTCCCCTTCCCTCCCCACTCCAGTGCCCACCTGGGGGCTGTGCAGTGTGTCCCCACCCCAGGCCTGGCAGAGCCCACCCTGGCAAGCATGGGGTGAGGGGTCCCGTTTGTGCCACAGCTCTGTGTCACGGTGGCTGCTGCCCCACGGCGTCATTCCCGGCCTCTGAGCCATGTCCCCGCCCTCACTGCCCATCCTGTCCCCTGCTGTCCCTCCTGCCTCACCGGCCGGCACTCCCGGCAGGCACCGGCGGCCGCAGCTGCTGTTGCAGCATTTCTGCGCGTCGGGGCAGTCACCGTCACCTCGGCACCGCTCCCGGAATGGTCCTGGCTGCACCGTGGGGCCCTGGCTGGGCTTGGGCTGGTCTGACAGGGCAGAAGGGGTGTGACCATTCAGCATCCCCCACCGCCGCCCTGCCTGCCCCGGGGGTCCCTGCTTCCTGTCGTGACCCGCACATTCCCGGTGCTTGCGGCCACGTTGGGTTTTCCCGGCAATTGTCAGGAGCTGCCGGAGCAGGGAAAACACCGTGCGCTGCCCCAGGGGCCAGGGCGTCAGGGAGACAGCTGTGGCACACAGGGTCCCTGGGGGAGCCAGGGCTCCCAGCCGGCCCCGCCGAGTCCTTACCCTGCGCCGGCTCCAGGCAGGCAGAGCCGCAGCCCAGCGGGCAGCACTTCTGCGCTCCCAGGCAGTCCTTGTCCTCCAGGCAGGGGAAGGAGCAGGGGGCAACGAGCCCCTCGGGGGCTGCTGCCGGGCAGGCACCGGGCTTCTCTGCAGCGCCGAGGGGCCGAGAGGTGAGGCTGCACTGCGGTGTCCTAGGGCAGCACCAGGAAACCTGCCCCTGCCAGACCCCTCTGCCTCGCCCTGGCTGCGCCCCTTCCTGTGCCCCATCCCATCCACACATCCCAGCCGCGCTCAGGAGGCCGCTAGCAGAGCACACGGGGCTGCTCCACAGCGCACAGGGAATGGGACAGGGAGAAGGGTGCCAGCTGCGCCGGGACAGAGGTGTGCCAGCGGCTGTAGCGCGGTGCCGTACCTTCTGCCGGGGGGATGCAGCGGAGCCGGCACTCCCAGTGGCAGCACTTGAGCCCAGCAGGGCAGCTGGAGTCATTGGCACAGAGTGGGGACTCCAGGCGCAAGCAGCGCATGAAGTCCCGTGGACACTTCCCCGGTTTCTGGGAGTCCCCTGCGTTGGGATGGCAATGTCAGGACAGTGCCAGAGCCCCTCATCCTCCTTCCCCGGGGAAGCAGGATGTGGGTCTCTCTGCAGGGGACTGCAGCCCAGGGGCTGGAGATTTCTCAGCATCATGGCCCTGGGCTGCTGGACCCCCACACCAAGACCTGCACAGCACACTGTGGCACAGTGTAGCATGACATGTCATGGTGTGGGGTGGCACAGCCCCTGTCAGGGTGAAGCCAGCATGGAGCCAGCACCAGCTGGAGGCCAGGGTTTATTCCTGAGCATTCTGCTGCCGTGGGCATCCTCACTGTAACCAGCATGCTCCTCACTGCTGCCGTCTCCTCATCTTCCTTCTCCTCCTCCTCCTCTTGGCACCCTTTGCTCCTCTTGGCCGTGTTGGTGAACTTGGGGCAGCCCTGCCTCTGGTTCAGGCGAGCTCCAGCTGGAGCCTGTGCCCGGCTCCTGCTGCCAGCTGGGGCTGCTGTGCCCGCAGCTCGTCCGGCCCCTGTGTGCCCTTGCAAGTGCCACGAGGAGTGTCACTGGCCCTGTCAGGGTGAAGCCAGCACGGAGACAGCACCAGCTGGAGGTCAGGGTTTATTCCTGAGCATTCTGCTGCCGTGGGCATCCTCACTGTAACCAGCATGCTCCTCACTGCTGCCATCTCCTCATCTTCCTTCTCCTCCTCCTCCTCTTGGCACCCTTTGCTCCTCTTGGCCGTGTTGGTGAACTTGGGGCAGCCCTGCCTCTGGTTCAGGCGAGCTCCAGCTGGAGCCTGTGCCCGGCTCCTGCTGCCAGCTGGGGCTGCTGTGCCCGCAGCTCATCCGGCTGCAGCGGGGCCGGGTGTTTGGGCTGCAAACAGACGCTGCCGGAGTTTCACTGCAAACAGCAGCTGCTCGGTTCAAACTAGGAGGCACCGGCCGTGGTCTCGTGTGGGCAGAGCCACGCCGCAGCCGGGCACCACCGCCCCAGGCACTGTCCCACGGCGGGGGGCTGGCAGCAGGGGTCTGTGCCCAGGATGCAGCAGAGACCTTGCTGCACGTGGTGCCGCTGGAAGCTGACACTTGCTGTGCCCCTGGGGTGCAGGGGGTGCCCACGGGGCTGAGGGCATGCACACACGCCCCTGCACCCTGGGGTGGGGGCAGGGTCCCCCAGACAGCAGGGCTGCGGTGCAGGTGCTGCAGCCAGCTGGGACATGGTCCCTGTCAGCATCTGGGCAGGGACAGAGGGGACACGGCAGGGACACGGGGGCCGAGATGCAAGGAGCTGCTGCTGCCGGGTTTGACTCTTGGTACTCACCACCCTTCTCTGGTGTCACGCTCGGCTCTGCCCTGAGGATGAGGAGGCCCAGGAGGAGGAAAACTCCTGGGCTCATGCTGCTGCTGGGGATGCTGTGCATGTCTGGAGCTGAGCTGGGGCTTGGTTTGAAGTCTGTGGCAGGGGTGCCTGAAGTGGCAGGGCAGCTGAAGTTGAGCTGCCTGCTGTGGCAGATGGTTGTGCTGTGGGCAGGAGGGGCAGGAGGAGGGGCAGTTCCCAGAACCCGCCGGCGCCCCGCCAGCCATCCCGCTTATCTCTGCCCAAGCCCTGCTTTGGGGTCATGGTGACCTGTGGGGCTGGGAAGGCCAGATGGGGTCAGGCACTTCTGCCCCTCACGTTGCACCACCCCATCCTTGCTGGAGCTGGCTGCCATTCCCTCTCTGGGTTTCCTTCCAGCCCCTCTCGCCCCTCTGCTCCCTGGAGTGGGGGCTGTGCATAGACCCCGTGGCTTGGTCCTGGCATGGCTGTGGGAGCAGCACGGGGGGTTCTAACAGCTCTACTGCTGTGGTGCTGCTCCTCAGCCAAGTGCAGCTTCCATGCACGGGACTGCTTGGGATCCAGCACCCTGAGTAAGCAGGTACTGCCATGGCCCTGGCACATGGGTGATGCTCCCTGCCCCCTTCCTTGTCTGGGTGCTCCATCTGGCCTGACCCGGGACTGCTTTTCCCACCAGGTTTTGACACTCTGGGATGCAAATGAGCCCTTCCTTGGCACAAGGAATCTGAGAGAACTGGTTTTCCAGTCCATGATTGCTGAGGGGACATCATGCAGCCCCCAGGCCCAGCAGGATGGTTACCATGGAACAATGATGGCCGGAAATCACCTGCATGGAACTGGGACCATCTCCCTGCCCTCGGGCAGTGCCTGCATGCAGGGATGGCTGCCTGCACCTCCCTGCCTGCAACAGCCCAGGCTGCCAGAGCCTCTGGGAACCAGAGCACAGAACAGGGATGGTGACCCAGAGCAGAGGTGCCTGTGGGATGGTTTATTCTGTCTCAGTGCTGTGGGGCAGAGGTGCCATTGTGGATGCAGGGTTTTGCCTCATGCAGGGTTGCTAGGAATCTTGGCCATGGGTAGTGCAGGCAGCTTGCAGCCCTTAATGGCACGGCTGGGGGTGCCAGGGACCCTGACCAGAAGCATCGGAGTCAGTGCTGGTGCCATCCTGCCTCCACAGGGTCCAGCACAGGGAGAGGTGTGGGGTGCACCAGCACCTCTGCTCAGCCCATGGGTGCAATGGCAGTGGGGTGGAGGATGACCCTGAAATCGCAGCTCCTTGTGCAGCCCTTCCTGGCCATGGCTACGCTGTACCTGGAAGAGGCAAATGAGGTGGTCAGTGAAGATGCCTCCGTGCTCCTTCTCTGAGGGATGGGGGGCCCTGTGGTGCTCCTGCCCTGGCCCCCCTCTGTCCCCTCCAGGCTGGACCCAGGAGGCAGCAGGCTGGAGGGGACTGTACCCCACAGTGGGTGGACGCAGACCCGGCTGCAGCCCTGCAGGCAGCACTTCTGGCCAAGGGGACAGTCCCTGTCCTGCAGGCACAGGAGGAGGCACTTGGCTGCCTGATCACCCTCTGCTGCAGGGGGACAGAGACCTGGCCATGCTGGCACATGTGGAGAGAGAAAGGGGTGAGGGGCTCAGGGCACCCCTCCAGGGTGGGGAGCTTCCCTGCCTGCAGGTCTGAGCTTCTCACTGAGCTCCTGGAGAGCAGCTGAGCTTTGGAGAGCAGATCAGACCCCAGCTTCCCATTTCCCCCCGGAGGGTCACAGTGACAGGTGGGGAGGGGACACAGTGGTCTTGTCCCCACAGGGTGCCGATGGTTTACCCTTGGTGGGTGGTTTGCAGATGTGGCCACAGCCAGTGGTGCAGCACTTGTCGTCCCCAGTGCAGTCACCATCAGTGTCACACAGCTCCAGACAGGGCCCCAAGGAGCCCCGCAGCACCATGGGGCACACACCAGGCTTCACTGTGGCACGGTGGCTCCCTGGTGACAGGAAAGAGTGCAGCTGTGCTGGGATTCTGTCCCCAGTCCAGCTCCTGGCGCAGCCTCAGTCTCCATCCTGTCCCTGTCCTGTGCCTCCATCTTCCTTCCCCGAGCCCCATGATGACCTCAGTCACCAGTCTCACACCATACCAGTCTGACCCAGTGAGACCAGTCACAGCTCAGTATGGGATGCCAGCTGGTAGCTGGGGTAGTGAAGGACAACCCTTGCTTTGGTTGCAGAGGGGGTGCAGGAGGGAGGGTCAGGAGGGGGTTCAGCCTTTCACACACTCGGAGCCATCTCCCACCCATCACGGAGCAGCTGGGGATCCCTTCCCACAGCACCCTGCGGGCCAGCTCTGAGGGCTGGGGCTGTGCCCAGGGCAGGCGTGTGGCACCGGGAGCCACAGCCAGTGGCACACACTCCCTGGGGCCTGGATGGATGCCAGCAGCTGCACACTTGGCCGGGCACAGCCGCTGTGCCTTGTCCACAGTAGGGCTGGCACACGCTGGGCTCTGCCAGAGGGCAGCTGGGCTAGCACCAGTGCAGTGGTGGGCTGGACCTGGGGATCAGAGAGGGCTGGCAGGGCTGTACCTGTGTCTGGAGGGGTGCAGGCCAGCCCACAGCCAGAGAAGCAGCACTTGTGTTCCCCAGGGCAGTCCCGGTCATCGGTGCAGCGGTTGGGGCAGGCAGCAGCTCTCCTCTGGGCACGCTTCCGTGGGCAGAACCCAGGTTTGGCTGCAGGGAAGGCTCAGGGTTTGGCCTGCAGCCAGCCTGGCCCCACTGCCCACGACCCCCCTACAGTGTGATGAGGGCTGCAGACCCCTGGGGCTGCCCCGGGGCATCCTCAGCCTGGCATGGGGATCTCCAGCACACCTCACCTGGCTCAGCAAGCACGCAGCGGGTGCAGCAGCCGCGGGTGCAGCACTTCTCTCCCAAGTGGCATGTGGTGTCGTTGTGACATCTTGTCCCACAGCTTGGCCCGATGGCACTGCCAGCACGGGGGCAGTAGCCCGGGCTCTCTGCAGAGGGAGATGCTCCATGCAGCCATGTCTCAGGGAGCAGGGACACCCCCTCCAGGGGCACGCGCACAGGCACCAACCCACATCCCACCCATTGCCCGATCCTCGTGCTGGCACCCCTTGCAGTGAGCAGCAGTACCTGTGGTGGGCAGGAGGCAGGTCCAGACCTTCCCCATCTGGCAGCACTTCTCAGCAGCAGGGCAGCTGTGGTCGGAGAGGCAGTACAGTCTGGGGGGCCAAGGGGCTCCGCTCGCCCCTGCCGGGCACTCACCCATTTTGGGGGGGGCAGGCGGGGCAGTGGGGCTCCAGTGTCCCTGCAGGGCCCAGTGTGGGGATGCAGTGAGGGTGAGGGCAGTGCCCTGGTCCCTGGGGCTGTGCTGCTGGGCCAGGGTGAGCAGTGCCAGGAGCACCAGAAGAAGGGTGCGGTGGCCCAGCATTGCGCTGCAGTCCATGGGCTTTTGGGCAATGGGCTGGGATTTAAACCCTGCTGGAGTGGGGGCTGGCCAAGCCAAGCTGCTCCTTCTCATGGCAGCACAGTTCCGGGACTGTGGGAGTGCTGGGCATGAACAATTCAGCTTGGGGGAGACTCCTGGGGCAGTGCTGGGCTCGTGACCCATGGCTGACACATCCGCAGCTCCCTTTCCAGGTCACTGGTGACCTGTGAGCAGCTGTGCCAAGGGCTGAGCAGCACTGAGAGCCACACCATTGTGAGCCTGGATGGGACACAGGAGCAGTGTCCTGTCCCAGTCTTCAGTGTCCACTGGATCCCTCCTGGCACACCTGGAGCAGGGAGAGCTGCTGTGGAGCTGTGGTGCGGGCACAGCCTGCACCTGCACTGCAGAGAGAGGGGGGAACCAGCACCAGACTCTGGGCAGTGCTGGGCAAGGTGTGGGGCTCACTCAGTCCCAGGGGATGGCTCTGCCAAGGGCAGGGGCTCTTGGGGTGCCAGCCTCTCCCAGGCAGGAGGGACATGCTCTGATCCCAGGGGCAGGGAGCAGGAGCAGGCAGGTACAGAAGAAACAGGGCCCCTGGAGACCTGTGGAGAGCAGGAAGTGCCAGGGGAAAGCAGGACAGGAGCAGGAGCCCAGATCTGAGCAGGTGGGGAGGGTTGTGGCAGGGGCAGGCATGGGACTGGGGCATGTGAGTTGCACTGCTGAAAACTCCTTCAGGCTTCTGCTGTGGGCAAGGTGCCATGGCCAGGCTGGGAGGGCAGAGGTAAGGAGGAGTCTGGGTGATGCTCGTGTATGAGCACACGCTGCAGCCTGTTTGTCCCCTGGCCATTGCAGAGCAGGGAGCAGAGAGCACCCCTGCTCTGATGGGACACAGACACAGCTGCACCTTGACAGTGCTCTGAGCATGCTGCAGGACCCAAGGTGGAGGAGCCAGTGTGCAGGGACAGCTGGGGCCATGGACCCATGGGACCCCAGGGAGGGCACAGGACCCTTGGGGGCATGACAGAGTCAGTTGATGCTGCTGCCTTTGCCCAGCAGTGTGGGGCCCCTGTGTGAAGCCCTTCCAGGCATCCCTGGCATGGGAGGGAGAGGCAGCCATGGCTTGTGATGGAGAGGTGGCCATGGTGTGGGATGGAGAGGTGGGCACAGCATGGAACAAGCCCCAGGGAGGGCACCGGACCCTTGGGGGGCATGACAGAGTCAGTTGATGCTGCTGCTTGTGTGAAGCTTTTCCAGGCATCCCTGGCATGGGAGGGAGAGGCAGCCATGGCTTGTGATGGAGAGGTGGCCTGGTGTGGGATGGAGAGGTGGGCACAGCATGGAACAGAAAGGGGGCCATGGTGTGGGACAGAGAGGCAGCCACAGCATGTCAGGGAGAAGCTGCTTTATTGGTGAGAGTGCAGGGGTCTTGCCCTGAGCAGAGAACCCCAGGGAGAAAACTGAGGCTGAAGGCTCCAAGCCAGGGGGATGGTGCAGGGCCACGGCCACAGACACAGCTGCACCTTGACAGTGCTCTGAGCATGCTGCAGGACCCAAGGGGGAGGAGCCAGTGTGCAGGGACAGCTGGGGCCATGGACCCATGGGACCCCAGGGAGGGCACAGGACCCTTGGGGGCATGACAGAGTCAGTTGATGCTGCTGCCTTTGCCCAGCAGTGTGGGGCCCCTGTGTGAAGCCCTTCCAGGCATCCCTGGCATGGGAGGGAGAGGCAGCCATGGCTTGTGATGGAGAGGTGGCCATGGTGTGGGATGGAGAGGTGGGCACAGCATGGAACAGAAAGGGGGCCATGGTGTGGGACAGAGAGGCAGCCACAGCATGTCAGGGAGAAGCTGCTTTATTGGTGAGAGTGCAGGGGTCTTGCCCTGAGCAGAGAACCCCAGGGAGAAAACTGAGGCTGAAGGCTCCAAGCCAGGGGGATGGTGCAGGGCCACGGCCAGGGCATGAGGGATGGGCATCGGGCAGCAGCTTCCCTGTGGCTGGGCTGGCAGGAGGCGGCTGCATCTGCAAAGGAGCAGAGGCTGTGAGCAGGATGGGTGCACAGGCACCGTGCTGCGGTGCTGTGGATCCCTGGGGCTGGAATGCACCCAACTGACCTCAGTGGAGGATGGGTGTCACACAGGAGACCTTGCCACAGCCGTTCCTGCAACACTTCTGGATCCCGGAGCAGTTGGCATCGGTCTTGCACTGGTTGGTGCAGACACCCAGCATGGGGATGCCCGGGTTGACGGGTGGGCAGGTGCCAGGCTTCTCTGAAAGGCAAAGGAACATGGTTGAGACCTGCTGGCCCTGGCATGGGGGGCAGGGCCTACCCCGCAGCTCCCAAAGCTGTGGGCATGGCCCTGGCCCCTATCTGCCATGGAAGAGGGACCACCACAGTATCCAGCATTTCCCCCATCCCATAGATCTGCTTGTTGGCACTCCTTGCCAGCTGGACCTGATGGGGACACGTCAGGGAGGCCACATGGCATAGTGGTCCCCAACGGTCCCTATGCCCAGTGCTCCCTCTCAGGGACACAGGGCTGGCACAGGATGCACAGCTGCAGCATGCAGATGTGACACAGGCCTTGGCCCTGCTGTCCTCTACAACTGCCATGGATGGTCCAGACTGTTTGCTCATAGCATGGGGGTGCAGCCTAGGCCTCAGCCAGGATCACGGGCCCCCCAAACAGCCTTTGCCCAGCAGTGTGGGGCCCCTGCCCCACTGCCTGCCACTGGCACTGAGCTCTGGCTCTGCACCATGCTGCTCTCCACTGTGGTGCAGCCAAGCCAGTGCTGTCCTGCAGGCAGCCATGGAGGCACTGGAGCCTCCAGGTCACATCCATCTGTCTGCAGCTGTGGATTCCATGCGCTGTCCTGCAGGCAGCCATGGAGCCTCCAGGTCACATCCATCTGTCTGCAGCTGTGGATTCCACCTCCTGCACCCATCTCCTTGGGTTGCTGTCCAGGACTGTTGTGATGAGCAACAGAATGGTGCCCCCCACATCCTGGGCTGGCAGCGCTCCTGCACGCATCTCCTTGGTTTGCTGTCCAGAAGCACTGTTGTGATGAGCAACAGAATGGTGCCCCCCACATCCTGGGCTGGCAGCCGCCCACAAGGCTGAGCAGGCAACAAGGGCTGCAATGGGGAGTGGCGCAGCCCCCACCCTCCACCCAAGTCCCAACATCATTTCGGGGTGTCCACTCAGCCCCTGCATCGCTGAGAGGAGGAAGGAGTGAGCGTGGCCCAGCAGGAGCACACCCCGAGCCTGCTGGGCTTCCATGCAGCCCCCAATCCCTGTCCTGCAGCGGAACACACATCGGGCACCGAGGCCTGTGGCCACCACTGCACCCCGGAGCACCCGCACTGCCGGCAGGGACGGGCTGCTGGCTCGTGGCAGTGGCAGCACGGCCAGGAGCAGGAGGGAGTGTTACCGTCAGGCTTCTGGCAGGCCTTGCCGCAGGCTGCCGGGCAGCACTTGAGGGTGCTCTCGCAGTCGCCATCGGACTGGCACCCCACTGTGCAGTTCACGGCATCCGTCGCCGGGCTCGGGCACACGCCGGCTTTTGCTGCAAGGCAAAGGTGGGGCGTGGGCAGGAGCGGGGCGGCCGGCGCCGGGCAGGGCGAGCGCTGCCTCCCTTTCCGGGAGATGCTGCCCCGGCGCCAGGGCTGGGTCCAGGGATGCTGCCGAGCCCAAGCGCGCCGGGCACAGGCCGGTGCTCGCCCCGGCCCCCACGCCGGCTGCCCTGGGGCTGGGAGGGGGGGATGCTGGCCGCTCGCCGGGCGTGCCGTGACGAGCCGTGCTGGGCCACGCGCTCATACTCACTGGTGTCATTCTGGGCGGATGCTGCCGGCAGCTCTGCCCAGAGAGCCAGGAGCCCCGCCAAGATGAGGACGCTGCGGGCCGCGGGCATGGTGCAGGAACCGGCTGCGCTGTGGCCGCCCGGCCGGCCTTTAAGCTGCTCTCCAGGTGGGGCCGGCGGGCTCGGCCTTCCGGGTGGCTCCCAAGGGCCGGGCAGGGCCAGGCTCCCCCTTCGCGCTTGCACAACCCGAGTATCAGGTATCTGCTGCTGCTGGCTGCCGACCAGGGAGGGGGAGCCTCGAGGTGACTGGGCGGCCATGCTGAGAACTCGCCCGGCAGGAACAGCAGCCAAGCACCCCTGGCCACGGCCCCCGCACGCCGGACCCCGGACAGCCCCACACTGAGCCCGCCGGGCCGCTGGGTCGCCGTGGCCCTGCGTGGCCATCGGCCCTGGGGATGGAGTGGTACCGCTCGGCGGGAGTGAGGCAGGCGCCAGTGCGCCCGTTCAGACTCAGACTGCATGCACCACAGGCATGAGCTTGAATGGAGCCCCCGGCCTGGGTCGCTGATGCCCCGAGGCCAGGAGGAGCCGGCAGTGCACACAGGGTTGTGGCTCAGCTCTACTGCTGCTCAGCCAGCTCCTGTGCCTGTTGCAGCCACTGTTCTCCTCCAGCTCTTGCTCCTCGAGTGAAGGGTGCTCCAGGCTGCCGGTGCCTTGGGCAGGTGCCTGCCCTGGGGCTGCCCTGCGCCTTCCCACAGCCATGGGAGCTCCTGCCCAGCCGCAGCCCTGTCCCACGGACCCTGGCACCCTCGCAGCCTCCCACAGCACTGGGGATGCGGATGGACCGTCCGACCACCACTTGTGCAAGTGGCCGTCAGGGAGGGTCACTGACACGCACTCCCAGTGCTCCGGGGCGTGGTGGTACTGGGGCTGTACGACCCCAGTCCCTTCGGCCTGTCCGGGATACCCTTCCCATGGCACATCTGGTGGGTCAGGACACTTCACTGCCCCTGGCAAGCGGCTCGCCCACCTGGCATGGCTGCCCTGCTGACATCAGCGTTTGCCATTCTGCCAGCACCTATCCTCCTGCAGGAGGATGAAACCTGCCCTGTTCCTGGTGATGTGCTCTTGCTGCTGGTGGAGGCAGCCCCAGCTTCAGGCATCTTGCAAACTCGCATGGGCCAAGGGTGCATGGGGCCAGGACATGATCCCTGCCTGAGTCACGAGTTGGCGGCTGCTCTGCCGGGGTCGGTCTCCAGGTAATTTAACCCCACAGTCAACAATGTGGCACGGCGGAGTGGCAGTAAATCAGTAACTGTTTGCCTTTGCCTGTGGTCCCCTCCCTGCCGGGTGTTTATGCAGGAACAGGAGCCGGCGCTCAGCCGCCTGCCCCACTGCCGCACCTCATGTCACCGCTGACGGCAGTGGGAGTGACACACGGGCAGAGGTCTGGGGTGGCAGGGAGATCATCAAGGCAGCCGTTTTCCCTGTGCCCTCCTGGATGGGGACCTGCTGAGGAGCTGCAGGGACCTGGCCATGCTCAGGCTGGCTGGGATGCTCCCACAGCCGGCCCGGGGCCAGCATCGGGATGCCAGGAATGAAAACAACCATCGTGCAGCCCAGTGGCCCCCGTGCCAGGCCCAGAGCACAGTGCTGTGTTGGCCAGGGTGGGATGGGGGTGGTAACGGCTGGGAGGTGAGCACACTGCCCACCAGGATGGAGAGGAGGGACCTGCACCATCCCTACCTGTGCTGCACAGGGACAGAGCCCACCTGGACCCAGCAGCAGCTTCTGTAGAGCAGCAGCACTGCTGCCAGTCCCACACCGCCCACCCAGGGTCAGTGTGTCCCACTGTGACTTGGCTGTGGCCCTGTGCTGGTGCTTTCTTTGAGCATTATTGCCCTGATCTGACCCTGTGACAACTCTGCCCTAGCATGGCGTGACCCCAGCGTGGGGTGACCTTGGTGCTGGCAGTGAGCAGCCAGCACTGGGAGGCTCTGAGGGAGGATGCCAGCACAAGAGCAGCTGGATGAGAACAGATGGGAGCCCAGAAAGAGAAGGCTTATGGAAGGAGACAAGGGGAAAACCATAGGGGAAACTGAGAGCTGGCAGGAGCAGTGTGGGCACCAGTGGTTTTGCCCAGAGTTGTGCCTCAGCTCCAAGGTGCCCAGCTGGTTGCTGAGGGGACAATCCAGCTGAAACTGCCCCCAGCCAGCTGGAGCAAGCTGGCAGCAGAGCCAGCAGCTCCAGCCCACGCAGTTGGCATCGCCTTCCGGGAGACAGGAATGCTCTGGCTTCTGTCCCCAGTGTATGGCATCCAGGATATTGGTGTCCCCACCCTGGCTCTGCTAGGTGCTTCTTCAGCAGAGGCTGAGGATGGCTGTGGGCAGCACAGGGGTCTGCCAGCTGTCCCCATGGCCAGGGAGGATCCTGGCTGAGCACATGGGGTCAGCAGCCTCAAGCCAGACCCCAAAGGCTCGTCTCTGCTGCATCCCTCGGGAGCTGTGCCCACCACCAGAGCCTGGTCACGGTGGCTGCGCCCAAGCCTCGTGGGTGACCGTGGCTCCTCCATGGCAGCAGGGAAGTGCTGCAGTCACATCACCTGACTGCTGAGGGAATGTGGTCAATGATTAAAAGGGGCACATTGAGGTGACCCCAAGCAGTGAGCCAGCCTCTCGCTGCTGGCACAGATCAGGGATAGCAAGTACAGGGATACAGAGGGACACCCCATCCTCTGGAGACGCTGGGCCCTCAGCTGGCAGCACAGGGTCCCCACACCATGGGCATGGACTGGTGCATGGCCCCTCAGGTCCAGCTGTGTACCTGCTGAGGGCTCCTGCCACATCCTGCCCCATCCTGCCACAGCCGAGCCCCCCTGCCCACGCTGCCCTACGGCGCAGACCTCGGTGGCCCTGCTGGCACAACCACAGCTTCAGTGGCGTGTGGATGCTCCGAAGCTTGGCATGTGCCTGGCTCTGGGATTGCTCCTACCTGCTCGTTCCATGTGGGACCCCTGCCTCAATCAGCCCCGCAGTGCTCCAGGGCTAGCACAAGGCATCCACCCCAAGCCTCCCCGCACTCACCTTTTTCCCCAGCAGTCGTAGGGGCTGCCTGCAGCTGGGCACACAGGGCCAGGACGCCCAGGAGCAAAATGATGGTGGTCTTCATGTTGGTGAATGCCAAAGGTATGGATGAGGAGCGCAGGTTGGCGGGGTTTATATCTGTGTGGGGCTGGGGAGGGGCCATGCACACAACCTTCGTGTGCCAAAACACTCAGTGCTGCTGCGTGTCACAGTTGTGCCCGAGGCAATGACGGCCTGAGAAATGATTTACCTAGCCTTGTCCAGACCTGGCAACCTGGCTGCAGCAGGGGAAAGGACCCTCAGCACTCTCATGGGGAAAGGGAGATGAGGCCATGGGCTGGGGTTGCCCTACAGCCATGGGGAGCCCAGAACTACCCAGCTGTGACAAGTGATTAGATGAACTTGTGGGATAGGAACCCAGAGGGGGCTGCTCAGGAAGATGTTCCCCTGGGGGCTGCTGTCCTGGCAGTGTGTTACTGGGGTTACAGGGCTGTGGGTCTGCTGGTCTGTGCCCATCCCAGAGACCCAGCACCTGCCTGTCCCAGTCCTGGCCTGGTGCCTACGTCATGCCACGTCTGCTGGTGGAGCCTCAGGGGACAACGGGCTGGGTCCCCGCAGGCAAGCATGGCCTCAGGGGGAGCAGAGCGTGGGAAGCCTCCAAGAGACACAAGGCTGGGTGCACGCGTTGCTGAGCACCATTCCTCCGTGGGGACAGGCTGGTGGCTCAGTGCCGACACGTCGCTGGCTGCAGACATGTCCCAGCAGATGGGTGCTGTGGCGGGGTCAGCACTGGGGCTGCCTCTCACCTCCCCATGCTCCCAGACCGGTGAGAAGTGACCCTGGGATGCCCAAGGTCAAAGGTGTGGAGAGTCACAGGGAGCCCAACTGAGCATGTGAAGGGTGACCACACCAAGGGTGAGGTGTGCTCCTGGCTCTTGGGGACCCTGCTGTGCTGCCACTGCTGTGTCTGAGACCCTGCCAAGCAGGACCTCTGCTTCCTGCATCCGTTCCATGCAGACAGGGGCATGGTCAAGGGACTGCAGCCCTGCCAGGGGGCTGTTCTGTGGCTCCTCTCATTGTTGAGCTGTGGCCATGCAGGCACAGCTCTCTGTGCCTCACTGAATGGCAAAAGGCACCTGCAGGTGCTGCTGGAAGTTGGGCAGAGGCAGCCTGACTTGCGGGACAGTGCAGGGGACTTGCAGGGCTGCAGCAAAGCACAGGGGACAGCCAGGGTTGCAGTGGGTGGAGAGGGACAGAACCAGGCTTTTTGAGGGGTGGAAGAGACTTGTCTTGTGCTGGAACTGGAGAACAGCCCCAGCTGGGGTCCCAGTGTGTGGGGGGACACCAGGGACACGCCCTGACTGGGAAGTTGTGACAAGACCAACCTGCCAGGATGCAGGCATCTGTGCTGAAGCCAATGTGACCTCTGTGACCTCATCCAGGGTTTTACAGCTCAACGATCATACTTTCCCACTTGGAAATTCCTGCATGCGTCATCCCTGTTCTGAGCAGCCAAATGTGTTTGTTGCTGGCAGAACTCTGTGTCTAAATCAAAAGGAAACATGAGCAGGAACCAGGGGCTTTGAGAGCAACTGGTCACATGCATGGGGACCCTTTGGGTGACACCTTTTCCCCAAAGTGGCATATGCCACAGTGCAGTGGTGGCGATGTAGGGGTCCCCTGCTTCTCCCGAGCAGCCCTGGCCCTTTGGCTGCTGCTGGCGACCCTGGGCTCTGCGGGGCCCTGGCACTCTTGCTGTGCCCGATGCGTGTCACGGCGTGGAGCGGCATCAGCGATGGCCCGTGCCACTCGCGCGGCACCTGGCAGTGTGAGCCTGGCGTGCCCTCCGCCACCGGGCTGTGGGGCATGGACCCCCTTGTCTGGGCAGCCCCCTCCCCACTGCACCCGCTTCCCTCCGTCGTGTCCCGGCGCCGATCCCTGGCGGCGGCCGGCAGAGGAGGCTGTTGCTCCGCCGGAGCGGAGCGGGAGCGGAGCGGGCTCTGCCGGGCTCCGGCAGCGCCGCCCGTCCCCGTCCCCGGGGGTGACCCAGCCTAAGAACAATGTGGAGCTGCTGGAGCGGGTCCAGAGAAGGCCACCGAGATGCTCCGAGGGCTGGAGCACCTCTGCTCCGGAGCCAGGCCGGGAAACGGGAATGTTTAGCTTGGAGAAGGCTCCGTGGAGATCTTGTGGCACCTGCCAGTGCCTAAAAAGGCCCCAAGGGAGCTGGAGAGGGACTTTGGACAAGGGCATGGAGTGACAGAACAAGACGGAATTACACTGACAGAGGACGGGGTTAGATTAGAGATTAGGAAGGAATTTTTCCCTGTGGGGGCAGTGAGGAACTGGAACAGGCTGTCCAGA